GCTCTTCTGGATGATGGTTCACTTATTTTACCCCTAAATTTAAAAGCTATTCTTAAATTCCAGATACTGCAAGTCAAGAGAAGGAGAGATTGGAAGAGAAGCAGAGATTTGCTAGAAGAGAGCGTGCTAAAGATGAGGAAGAATGGTCTACGAGGTGAGTATTTGAATTAAGAGCACAACCTTCCACTTTTTTTACTGGCCTGCGTTCCTCATTTTGTATATTCTCATTCCTTTCACATTTAGAAGTACTTTAGTTTATTTTTAAAATCTTTTTATTGCATTTTAATTATATACATTTACATATAAATGTCCATGTAACAAAGAGAACAAGAACGAAAAATCTCCAAGTGGGGGAGAATTTTTTTTTTATGAGCAACGTTTAGAAATATTTGAGATCTGTTTTGATTTTGTTCGACCATAGACCGTATAAAAACATGGAAGTAGTGTCCGTGACGTCACCAGTAGGTTTCTGAAGAGCGGTTTTGAAGCTCAAAGTGGGCGGAGCCGGCCGTCACTCCCGTATAATCCAAAATGGGCAAAGAGGCGGGAGCTGGTTGCTGAAACCACGCCCACCTAGCTCGATGGTGGTGACAGCAGTGGCAATCCACCTGTCACTCAAGTGGCCACGCCCTTAATTATGCAGAACTTTAAGGCTTAATATAATTTAAACGGATGAGTTATAAAAAAAATTCACCCCCCTCACAGTTGTCATGAAGGGCAAAATTAGCTATATAGACCAAAACCACTTTTTGTACCAGGCTGTAAACATATTTTTTTCTGCTGTAAAGTTGGGCATTTTAACATGGTAGGCCTATGGGACTGACTCCCTTTTGGAGCCAGCCTCTAGCGGTCAGTCAATGAATTGCAGTTTTAGTCACTTCCGTGTTGGTTTCGAGAGACCGGACGGTTGCTGCTTGTGTTGGACCGACAAAAATGAAAGCTGCTCATGAATATTATATCAAATGAAGACAGACAGTGTCCTGTATATTTTAAACATATTTTATTTGTGCTGGTTAAAGTTTTCTTTGGGAATTAACAGTCAAGCCTGAATCCATTTTAGAGTTTATTTATTTATTTATTTTACGAGTTTTAGAGTTATCTAAATCAAATTTGTATAGTATATTAAATTATACTATTTCATCTTTATTTGCCATGAAAATAGTCTAGGAAGCTGGCATGGCAGTAAAACACAAATGGACTAACCACAGGAATTAAACAATTTAAATGAATCCAGCCAGTTGTTTCTACTGAAGCAGATACCATCATTTAAAACCTTTTGATATGTCTGTCTTGAAAGGTTAATATATTAGTGAAAAAAGTTGTTTTTCTGTAGAGATTTTGAATAGCCTTTTTATTTTTATAAACTTTTTGGCCTCCCATCTTTCAGATGGTTCCAGCAAGGCAATAATCGGTACACTGGAGCTGCAGACTGGATCTACAAGGGAGGTTACTTTGACAGGAGGTACTCTGACCTTCCAGACATCTACTGATTCGGTTGGGAAGACTGAAAGAGTCTTGTGATTCATCCTTTGCTCTCTTTCACCCAATCCATATCATCTCCTCTCCTGGAGCTCTTTTCATTTTGTTCATCAGAATGTGAGATTCATGTGAACAGTTTTTGGACAAAGCCTCTCCACGAGTTCCACTCTTTACTAGAATCTGAAAATTCAGTGTGAATGGATTTATTTATTTTGAGAGGTAGGGAATACCTTAATTATTCTCTGTTTTCTTTTTCATGTATGTTAGGTTATAAGTTAAACATTCTGTGCAAACCTCAATATGTTTAGAAATTGCTAGTTTATGTACAGTATGTACTAACCTACCTTTCCATGCGTCTCGCTAGTTACACTCAGGTGTTCAGTTTATGGGTACAAGTGGTTAGTGATGGCATCACTGCGATGCCATCTGTGATTTTATTTTTATTTTTTTGTCATTGTTGAAATGTGAGGCTGCTCAGAACCTATTAGGAGAGCATCATTTTGTGTTTTTGTTCAAACTAATGTTATTTTGTCATTTCTATTATTTGTTTTTTTCCTTATCTCAGAAATATGACCTCTGTTTGTGGTATGTATGATGTGCAGGAACTTCATAGTTAAAGATTCTGCCTGATTTTGAGTACCTGAGAATGAAAAGGAGTTTTTTTTCCTTTCCCCGAATTATCCCACCTTTGTTCAGAAATTATGGTTATGTCTCACTGATATGGCTCTTGGGCCATTTCTCACCATCTCCATGGTACAGGGGAGTTTTCTAAAACTAACATTCTCATTCCTCACACGTTTAGAAATGTTTTAGATCTGTTTTGTTTTTGTTTGACAGACAAAAATGAAAGCTGCTCATGAAAAATGTTTATGGGGGGTTAATTGTTAAAAAGCTCTTATAACAAAAATCCTATTACATCCTAGCATTGATGTTTTGAGTGTTTATGGTTGCCAAAGTGACTTTGCTCTTGTAGAAATTAAAGTCATATAACTCGTCAGGACTGCAATGTTGAGTGATACAAATGAAATGGAGGTGGGTGCCAATCTTTCTTTTTATTTCAGCACTTAATGGCTCACGAATGTGAAGGTGCTTCACCTTAGCCCACATATATTCACGTGCACCAAAAATGCTCAGAATGTGCTTCATTGTTCATATGCTTTTTGCCATACAGCAAATTTCATTCTGCAAGGACAAATTTTTTTTCCAGACATACAAATCATAGACAAGATGACCTCAGAGGATCATGAAAGACACCACTGTCTTTTATTTCAAAACTTTAAACAATACTGTGATTTTAACACTCACAAATCTCAGAAGCTATGCAAACATTGATGGGAATGTCTGTCTATGAATTGTACAGTTTAATGTGTCAATAAGCTCCACTGTTTATGTAAAATACTTTGGTTGGCCTAGCGCAAAAGTGTCAAGCATACTAGTACTTTTGCTGATGGTTTAACACAGTATTACTGGCTGTTTTGCACAGCCTAAAGTTGGTTAGGTGGAGACACAGGTGTATGTAACTGCAGTGATTAATAACACTGTTATCTAATTATTAGAAATGTTTATCATTCACACTTAATGGGAGTTCATCATCTGTTGTGTAACTGTCTTATGAATCTGCTAATTTGTAAACTTGCGATATTAATGATATATGTGAGACCTCATTAAGAAACTTCAGTTTGCTCTTTTGTGTCGGAAGGGAATTGACAAGCATCAGTTCGAGGTTTCTGACAAAACATTTGGGAGAAGCTTCAGCTTCAGGCATATGTTTGATGGTGGGAACATTTGTGAAATATTACCTGTTGTTTTGCATTAATTTGACCTAAAATGTGAACTGATCTTTATCAAAGTCAATGTCATGGATAAAGAGGATCTAATTAAACTCATAACAGAAAAAAACATGCTTTCTATGTCTTTATTGACCAAGCTGGTTCTGGTTTAGGAGTAGAATTATAAGATGATTTAATAATTTATTTGACAAAAAGGTGTATGTAACTGCAGTGATTAATAACACTGTTATCTAATTATTAGAAATGTTTATCATTCACACTTAATGGGAGTTCATCATCTGTTGTGTAGCACAAGAATATTTATCTTTAATATGTTTCATGTAGTGCGTACAGTTCTAAAAGCCAAGCTTCGAGCCATAGCAAAGAATTAACTACAATTTATTTCCCTCTGTATTTTATACACTATATTGTGGCATGTCTAAACATATATTATTTAATCTCACTATCAATGCTTACTAGCAGTTAGAAATATCAGTATATTATTCCACCAGCTGCTAACGTAATGTCTTTTAAAGCCCTTGAAATCATGAGACATTAAAAAATGACTTATCCCCAATTGTCTCATGATTTTGTGCTGTGCTTATCAGCTATTCCTGTAGCAATCACATCAAGTTAATATACAAGTAAACCTGGTCACATTGATTGCAACTGTGTAAAGCAATCATACACTCAGAATTTTCAAGTCATTCTTGTCTGTGTTATTATTAAGCTGTTGATATTGGTTGTGACACTAAGGATTAATTGTTTCTGTTGTGAAACTCACTATTTCACAGATAGACGGCTTTACATAATTGTACATGAAGTATTGTGACTTTATACTATATTTGTATAGATCACGTGAAATGCACTTAAACTGTCTTATGAATCTGCTAATTTGTAAACTTGCGATATTAATGATATATGTGAGACCTCATTAAGAAACTTCAGTTTGCTCTTTTGTGTCGGAAGGGAATTGACAAGCATCAGTTCGAGGTTTCTGACAAAACATTTGGGAGAAGCTTCAGCTTCAGGCATATGTTTGATGGTGGGAACGTTTGTGAAATATTACCTGTTGTTTTGCATTAATTTGACCTAAAATGTGAACTTATCTTTATCAAAGTCAATGTCATGGATAAAGAGGATCTAATTAAACTCATAACAGAAAAAAAACATGCTTTCTATGTCTTTATTGACCAAGCTGGTTCTGGTTTAGGAGTAGAATTATAAGATGATTTAATAATTTATTTGACAAAGAATTGCTAATGCTCAAGAAATAAACCTTTTTAAAGGGCTATATTGCTCCAAGGTCAGACAAATAGTGATCAAAGGACATTCATTTAGACTGTTACATGGATGGGTTGTCTTTACACTCAATACAAAGGCATATAATAGTAAAGAAGGTGACAAACAATTGGATAATAGCTGCTATGGATTTCTTCTCAGTTCAGTAGTCACAACTACAAAAAACAAGACTTGTTTGAAATCTAAAAGAACAATGATTCAGCACTGAATTATTGAATTGTTCATGCAAGACAGAACAAGCCAGACAAGTAACATATTTGTCCAGCAAAGCGCAAGTAATTCAATCTAAAATATGTTAACAGTGGTGAAAATGTAATTTAACACCGCTAAAAGGTTACACTTATCACTCCAGTCTGTCTTTGACAAACTCATAACAGCGTTATTTGTGTGGGCATATCGACATGTGCAACCACCAATCAGAGCAAAGGATGAAGAAACCTCCACCAATCGAACGTAAGCCCCGCCCCTTCTGCTAGTAGAGGACTAGAGGTTGGTCGACTCGACATCAGAAAAGTGAAAGAATTCTTAGAATTTGACTAGAAAGAGAGAGAAATGTAAGTTTTATGTTTGTCATATACCACAATCACCACACACGTTCGTCAGTACTGCATTTATAGATGTGTAATGTAGAAGCCAGTGTTTTAAAGCATGGACTTTTTTTGTTTTAAATGGTTTCCTCAGTACTCGCAGTGTTAGCTTCGGGTTTAGCTGCGGATCAGTTGCTCATATAATCATAGATTAGTAACGAACTAATTTTATTCTCACTTCACTTGAATGATAATGTGATATATGGTCGTATATTATCACTTTCCTGTACATTTACTGCACTGAAATAGGCAACAGACTGATGCATCTCGGACAGTGATGCTCTAAGATAAGGATGCTAATCATTTGTGCTGGACAGTATTGTGACTAAAGTATTTGGTTAATTGTTATCAATTTCTCTCCATGATTTATCGGGATTTGTGTGTATTAGCCGTTACAAAAAAAAAAAACACTTGAATGATTATGAGACTGTGAAAGATTTCGTAATATATTATTATTGGTAATTTACCTGAATAACAGTAATTGTAGTAACTTTGAAGACGTAGTAAATAATAATTATACAGGCCTATATATACCCCACTTGAAATGTGAGGGATGTTAGTAGCTATATAAACAGAATTGATCCCTTACAAGAAATTGTGAAACTACTGTTTTATAGTTTACATTTGTTATAGTTTTGTTTATGCAACACAAATAGCCAAATAATAAAAAAAAGTACAGTATTATAATTTAATATAATTTAAATATATTATATATATTATTTACGTCTGTACATTATATAGCTGCTCAAAAATGGTAATTTCCCTCCTTGGGACAACATTTATTTTACTTTCTTTGTTGCGATAGATGTCGTCGGGAGCTTTGTTCCCTAGCTTGGTGTCCGGATCCCGGGGCTCATCAAGCAAACACTTGGTGGAGTTCCGTGCAGGAAAAATGACCCTGAAGGGCAGCACCGTGACCCCGGATAAGCGCAAAGGACTTTTGTACATTCAGCAGACAGACGATTCGCTCATCCACTTCTGCTGGAAGGACAGATCCACGGGGAATGTGGAGGATGTTAGTACACGCTCATATAAACAGCTTTGATTATTCAAAATTCCTTTGTAATGCTGATCCTAAAAATATTTCAATTTTCATTGTTCCTTTTACAAGGACCTGATAATTTTCCCTGATGACTGTGAGTTCAAGAAGGTCAATCAGTGCACCACGGGCCGTGTTTTTGTGCTTAAATTTAAAGCTAGCTCCAAAAGATTCTTCTTTTGGTTGCAGGTAGGCCAGAGAGCCTTCTGGTATCTGATATTGCCCTTTAAAAATGTATTGTAAATATTAACTGAAATACATCTTCTGCGATCATTCCTATTTGACCTTTCAGGAGCCTAAGACAGATAAAGATGAGGAGTACTGCAGGAAAGTGAATGAATACCTCAACAACCCACCAATACCTGGTACGCTGGGGAGTGGAGGCAGCAGCAGCCATGAACTGTCTGCTCTTGGAGGTATTTCTGAAGTATTTTTGTCCAATGCACTGATACCCTTCCTAAACACTCATCTTAAAGCTGAAGTGTGTATTTTTTCTGTTATAATACACTTGGCACACACACACACACTTTGAGTTTTAAATTAGAGGTAAAAAATTATATAAATACTGTTCGGTTTCTGGCATAAACCAATCGTTTTGTGTCTTGGGACATCAATGTGTCGTCACGAGCCACATGGTTTAATTTGGATTTGTCTGTGCATGTTTTTTTTTACTGTCATAGATTTTGTTATCATTGCCATGCATTATATGACTGATAGACTGCAACGGTCTGTGTTAAAAATCATCAAATGTGTTCTACTGAAGAAACAAAGTCACCTACATCTTGGATGCCCTGGGGGTAAGCAGATAAACATCAAATTTTCATTTTTGGGTGAACTATCCCTTTAATAATGATCATAGTGGTAGGCTTGAATGTTGGAAAGGAAAATAATTTATTGTGTTGAAAATTAGGTCTTGCAATTGTTTTCTTAAGAGTCTCACCACTGATACTTTAACATTATTCCCCAGGTGAAGGTGGCCTTCAGAGTCTTCTTGGTAATATGAGTCACAACCAACTGATGCAACTCATAGGACCAACTGGACTAGGTGAGTTATTATGCTGCTTTATTTTCTGATCTCTCTATGACAGTGTTGTTATTGTAAACAAAAGCTATTATTAAGCTATTAAAATTGTGTTTGGTAATTAAAATAAAGCTGAAATAAAAATAAAATAAAAACATAAATATTAGATATTATTAGAAATATTAGATATTAAACAAATTAATGCATAAATGTTGCCTTGGCAACTAACTGAAATAAGTTTGTTGAAGTATTAAAATGACTAAAATCTGAAATAAAAATAAATGAAAGATAAATAGAAATATTTTAAAAAAGGACAAAAATAATAAAATAAAAACACACAATATAATTATTTTGAAAATTACTTTTCATGCAGTGTGTAATGTAGCTTGATGTGAATGTAAAAATCTGCAAAGTAGTAAGTGCATCATAAATACATTTATTGTCTCTAAAAAGAGTTGACTCTGAACCGCTGAAATTAGTCATTTTAAATTTGAGTCCTATTTCCGCAAAGTTCATATGTCACAAGTTAATACATTTGCATAATGCCCGCCTACGTTCTGTGTGGACATCCTGCGAAAAACAAAACTCAAACGCTGTAGCTTGTTCGTGTGGATAAAGTAATGTCGAGAAGATGCTGTGCTCTGCGCTGTGTAAATTATTTCGGTTTATTTTCACTTCCAAAGGATGAGGCTGTGAAGAATCAGTGGTTAAAATTAATCTTTACTACAATACCACAACAGTATAATCCCAATGTGTTGCTGTGTTCCCGTCATTTCACTGACGACTGCTTCCCCAATCTCTGCGAGTTCATTACGGGATTCGTAAACCGGTTGTCCTTAAAAGATGAGTCAGTGCCCAGTTTGTTTGGACAGCTTGCTCCTCCAAATCACAACCTTTAAGTATGATTAATAATTGTTGCTGTAATGTTCTGTCCAGCGTGCAAAATATGTAGTTTTGTGTGTTGTGTTGTGAATACAGTCAGTGCAGCTGTTGGTCTCTCTGTCTAACTCACGTTATAGTTCTGCTAATCAGCTGTGGGCCCGCTATTGTCTAGAAATGTGTTGATTAATATAGAATGTCTATATGGAGCATTAAATTGGTTTACAAACTGCAGTGCTTTATCAGTACTCTATGTCTGTGTTCGGCTAATGCATATGGCATTATTGTTTAGGTCTTTAATACCAAGCTGTGGGTCCGGTTCGCTAACATAAGTGTAAATCAACTTTATCCCTTCTGATTCTTTATTTTTAGAACAGAGTGGAGCACGGTCATTATAATAATAGGATGTATTATTGATAAGATAGGGGCACTTTAAACTAAAATTAAAATTGAAAACTGAAAATAAATAAAAGCTCATTCGAAACATTAATAAATAAATACTATTAATACTATAATGATAATAAATACTATATAAATAATACTAAATTAAGACTGCCATTTGACTGTTTTTTGTCTTTTTTTTTTGTTGTTGTTGCATTTTTGCCTTTTTTGTATATGACAGAGGAGACTTAACAGGAAGCAATGTGTGAGAAAGAAGCGCATGCCACGTGTCAGAGCACTGTCCATCACTGTTGACGCCAATACATTTTTTGTCATCAGAATACACAACTACTTTTGAGTATATGCATTTTTATACCAAAAATGCATTTGCTGCTATTCTGTCTACCAACAGAGGCTAACTGGCCCATCCTAACTAGCAAAATATTGACCCCTTGTATCTTCTGATGATCAAATTGCATCTAAAATAAATAAGTTCCGTATATAAAGTACATGAACCCAGACGAACATGCATAGTATTTTTACAAGGTTATCAGTGTAACATAATTAATTTTTATTTGGTCTGCAGGCGGTCTGGGGGCTCTGGCAGGACCAGGTCTAGCCAGCCTGCTGGGAAGTGGAATTCCAGCTACTAGCAGCTCATCTTCCAGGTAACACCCGGTAGAAGCTTGGATGTGGCTGGTTGTACTAAATACAATGACAATTGAAATATTATTTAATCTTTAGCTCTCGTAGTCAGTCCACTGCCGTCACTCCATCATCCACCTCGGCCCCCACACGGCTCGGCTCCTCCCAAGTTCCAACCACACCCATGACCCCATCTGCAACAGTCACAGCCTCACCCACAGCTGCCCCCAGCACACCTGCAGGCCCTGCTCTCTCTGCCGGAGCCACCAGCCCATCTCAGCCCATCCAACTGAGTGACCTGCAGAGCATCTTAGCAACAATGAATGTGCCTACAGCAGGACAAGGTGAGATCATGATGTTAGTTCTATAAAACCACTGTAAGTAAAATCTAGTATTACATGCTGACATGTAAACTGTCTTTATTCAGTTGACCTTGCCAGTGTTTTGACCCCTGAGGTCATGGCCCCAATTCTCGCTAATGCAGAAGTGCAGCAGAGGCTCCTGCCATACCTCCCATCTGGAGAATCCCTCCCTCAAAGCACAGAAAAACTTCAAAACACTCTCACCTCGCCAGAGTTTCAGCAGGTTTGACTATTGCATATAGTGATGTATAGAATTTTTTAATTTTTTATTGAAACACCCAAAGTTTTCATTTAGTCGGAAATCAAACATGAAAATAGTTAAATAAAGGGTTATTAAATTGGCTTAACTGGGTAATTGAACTGTTTATGTTGTTCAGGGTGTCCTGTTCTCAGGTGATAAACCTGTTGTAGTAAAAATTCTTCAGCAATGAATCACATTTTGATATGTCATCCAAAAACAATTTACATAATGCTACTCTAGCATCATTTTTGATCAGGTGAAGTGCGTCCTCACTGCTGACATGTTTATACCTGTAGCTAGTCTACATTTTGTGTATGAAAAAGACGCTGACAGAGTCAAAACGCAGAAGAAGTGCATAGAAATCAGAGAAGTGCTAATTAAATGTCATGGTTTCAGTCAATGATTTTGGCCAAAACTTTTTTTTTTACTATTTAGATTGAATATTTTTGATTGATGAAATTTTAGTGCAGTGCCAATTGTCTACACTTAGTAAACTAATTTCAAGAACAAGTTTGTTAGCATATCTGCTCTTGGACATGATTATTTTTTTAGAATAAATCTTCTAATATTCATCAGCACTCTTTCTGGGTTGTGTAGGCTATGAGTATGTTCAGCAGTGCGCTAGCATCGGGGCAGTTGGGGCCTTTGATGAATCAGTTTGGATTACCTACTGAAGCTGTAGAGGCAGCCAATAAAGGAGGTCAGTATATTTCAAATGTACACAAACTAATCTGGTTCATTCCAGCTGAAACACTTTCTAAACACCCTTGTTTATACTTTCACATGCATATATATGCACATTCCTCTCTCCCAGACATCCTTCTAAGTAGTCTGTAGTTTATACAGAATGACCTTACAAGGGCAAAATTGGAACTAATTTAATATATCTATCTAGACAATTGTTTTTGGTTAGATTTACATAAATCGCGTAATAAAAAACCGAGCCTTCAGGAAAGAAAAGGTCATACTTATAATGGATAGAATGGCTGAAGTTTTTCTCAATTTTTTGTAGATGTGGAAGCATTTGCCAAGGCCATGGAAGGTCAAGGGAAGTCGAACGAAGGAGAAGATAAGAAAGATGATGAGGACATGAGTTTGGATTAGGCAACTCTCTACATGAGCTGCCTTCATCAGTTGAACATTTCTTACTGTAGAGCTTCCAAAGCATCATGTTGTCAAGCTAAATGTGATGTTAAGGGTGATCTGTGTATTTTTATGTTAAAGGGACAGCGCACTCAAACATGAAAATTCTGTCATTTACTCATGCTTGAGTCGTTGTGAACCCATAAGATTTTGGTTTATCTTCAAAACACAAATTGAGATACTTTTAATAAAACCTGAGAGGTTTCTGCCCCTCAGTTGAAAATCCAGGTAACCAAAAGTCTAGATACAGCAATATCTCTTCACAAGACTGGATTAAACTGCTTGATTCATAAGCATTTTGTTTTACAACTTTTTCAGATGTTTTACTTCATTCATTCACCTGGACTTCTGTTTCAGAGATTAACCAAAGTCTTATGGGTTTGAAATGACATGAGTGTGGGTGAGTAAATGATAACAGAATTTTGGGGTGAGCTATCCCTTTAAACAATTAATCCTGTCCCAGTCGCATTGTAACAGAAGTAGCGACAAAACTTTTTTTCTGTATTGTGATGTACATCAAAAATATGTACAAAATAGATAGGGTGAATATGCCAAGTTTAATGTGCAGTGTGGTGCTTTCAACATTTCT